TCCGGGGAGGCGGGTCTGGAGGGCGGAGCCGGGGGCGGAGCCAGGCCCGCGGCGCCGAGATGCTCCAGGGACGGTCGCCCCCTGCCGTCCTGGCTGTAGCCGTGTTTGAGTCGGTCCTGGCGGGCCCGCGGTGTGTTTTGCTTGCGTGTGGCTCCGGGGTTCTGTTTTGGGCGTCATCTGGAACACTTGTTTTCCTTCACTTGTGCTTTCCAGGTGGACCACACGGTGAACCCTTCACAAATGGTTAAACCCAGCAGATTATCATTCGCCAGGAAATCAAGAGTTAGTTAGGTGTCTTGTTGGATTGGGCCAAGAGGTGCTTGCCCAACTGTAGGCTAGATTCGTGCTTTAATTCTTGAGTGGGGAAACTGACACAGCAGAAATGGGAAGCGTGGGAAACTAAGCGTTAAACTGTGCTGTGGTGAGGAATGACAGGCAAAGGTTTTCACCTTTGGAGGTGAAAGGCATTTGGAGATGGGCATTTGGAGATAAGAGGTGTGTAGTCAGCACAGTTAACTACACAGTCCTCTGTAGCTGTGAGGAAGAGAAGGCTTCAGAGGAAAGGGAAGGGCCCTGGGGCCAGAAGAGAGGTTCCAGGAAAATAAGCAAGTTAGGCAGGTTCAGAATTTAGATTTAGAATTGAGATCTTTGATAGTTTTACATGCGAAGAGTGATACTGTGTGATGCGCACTGGGAAGATGTATGGCTGTGATTGGTGTAATAAAAAACTAAGTAAAGATAAGTAAAGGTAACAAGTTACATAAAAGCAAGCAAATTAAAAAACATGGGTTGCCCTGCATGGTGGCACACACCTTTAATCTCAGCACTCAGGAGGGAGAGGCAGGAGATCTCTGAGTTCCAGGCCCTCCTGGTCTACAGAGCGAGTTCCGGGACAGCTTCCAAAGTTACACAGAGAAACCCTGGGGGGAGGGCAGGTTCATTTAAATTATAAGAACTAATTTGGGGCTGGAGAGATAGCTCAGTGGTTAAGAGCACTGACTGCTCTTCCAGAGGACCGGGGTTCAATTCCCAACAACCACATGGCAGCTCACAACTGTCTGTAACTCCATTCCAGGGAACCTGACATTCATGGCAAAAACACCAATATAAAATAAAAATAAATAAATAAATAGTTAGGAACAAGCCTAAATTAAGGCTGAACTTTCCTAATTAATTAACAATGTCACTGTGTTGTTATTTGTGATCTGGCGGCCCAAAGAAAAAGTAGCAGGAAGGTTATTTCTGTTAGTTTGGGTGTAATCTGCAAATGCCTGGTTCCTGGGTTTCCCACAAACTCTTTATCATAGTTAGCAGACTGACTCTTCCTGGTTATCCTCCTGCTGTTGGAGGTGGGTGGGTGTGTTAGCCTGTTTTCTGTTGCTATAACTGAAGAACACAGATGGGTAATTACAGAGCACACTTGATTTACTTCAGCATTCTGGAGGCTGGGAAGTCCACTATCAAGGTGCTGAGATCTTGATGAATCCAACAGAGAAAGGTGTAACACAGTGAGACTGTTGCAGGGATCCACTAGAGAAGACGGCTCAGACATGGGTTTAAGCCAATAGGAAGTCTTTATTAGCTAGCCAGCGACTGCACTGGGTGTTCAGGATCCCACTGTAGCACCAAGCCTTCCTCAGGGTGAGCTTTTAAGCACCAGAATCCACATCCTGGGTTGACATACTTCAGTGTTTTGTTTTGTTTTGTTGATTGTAGTCTTGTTTTTGTTTTTTAAGACAGAGTTTCTCAGCAACTATGGAACAAGTCCTGGAACTCGCTCTTTAGTCCAGGCTGGCCTCAAACTCACAGAGATCTTCCTGCCTCTGCCTCCTGAGTGCTGGGATTAAAGGCCTGTGCCACCACTCCCCGGCTAGACATACTTCAATTAACAGTTAGCCAGAAGTTTAACTACAGAAGCCAAAGAGCAAGTGAGAACATTCAGAGACTTTCCCCAAACTCTGGACTTTGATGGATTGATTAGGTCTTTGTTTGGCAGGTGGTGCTGTCTACATGCTGAGTTAAAATTCATAAATGACCCAAATGGTACTTCCGTCATAATCAGTTGTGTTGAGACCTGGGGCCTGTTACAAGGCAGAACCAGAGTGCCAAAGAACACTTTAATCACATTGTAGCCCATTAATACACTGATGGGCCTTTAAGGGGCTCTGAAGATCCAAACTATACAGGACCCTATCACCTTCTGAAGGTCTCCCCTCTTAAATTCTATTAACATGTGACTTTGGGGATTTAAAATTCCAACAATTTGAAGGGCGTTTTGCAGTCATATTGAGGAAATCATTTTTGAGTATCTCAACTTCTAGGATTTATCCCACCCATTTCTAGAAAATCCTACTTCCTTTTTGCAGCTCTCTTCATTTCCACCAACAGACATTTTACCTTTGTGGACAAACTGGGAACCTCCATTCGTGTTGTACTTCCTCTTATAAATGAAATTAATGGTCAGGTGTGGTAAGGCTTGCCTTTAAACCCAGTATAGATCTCTGAGTTTGAGATCAGACTGGCCTACATACCAATTTCCAGGACAGCCAGCGCTACATAACCAGAGCATGTCTAATAAAACAAAAAGTTAGCTGGGTGATGATGGCACATGCCTTTAATCCCAGCACTCGAAAGGCAGAGGCAGGAAGATCTCTGGGTTTGTGCCCAGACATGCATGTAGACAAAACCCCCAAACATATAAAATAAATTTTAAAAGTTTTTTTTTAATTATACAAAAGCAAAAATTAAGAGTGGGGACAAAAACAAAAGCATTCTAAAATTATTTTTGTATGTATACATTATGTGCGTGTGTGATACATAGGTGTGCAAATGCCACAACATGCATGTGAAGGTCAAAGTGGAGTCGTTCTGTGTTTCAGTGAGTCCCAGGGATTGATCTCAGGCTGTCGGGCTTCTGCAGCAAACACTTTACAGGCTGAGCCATCTTGCCAGCTTGGTTAAGCATTTCTGAAGGAAATGTTTAAACAGACTGTGATCTGTTGGTAGGCTGTAGCTTATCACTGTTTTAAGTGGGTTTAATCACTTTATCACTTAAATGGGCTTAATACAGAGTTCTGAGTTTTTCAGCCCAGTGGGAGAGAACTTAAGTGTCTGCAGTACAGAGGCCACCTCAAGACAACCCACGTTGCAATGGCCAAAGATTCTTGGCCAGAGTTTAGTCATACCTAAGAGTCTTCTGCTAGGCACATCAACTTCAGCCCCTCCCCGACAACCCCTGGCTTTCCTGACTTATCTGTGCGCTATTTGAAGAGTCCTGTTAAGGCTGTGGGTCTGTGTTAGCTTTTTGATACTACAATATGATTTGAGATAATCAGCCAGTCAACAAAAGACACCTTACTCATGGTTTTAGAGGTTCTGCCTGTTATTGATGGGCCTATTAGTTTGGCCCAAGTGGCAGCAGATTGTAATGGCGGAACTCATTCTATGGTCAGAACACAAAGGGAGAGAGAGGAGAAGAGACCCAGACTCCAGTATCCCCTTTAAGGACCACCACAGTTACCTAAAGTGACCCCTCCTAAAATACACCTCTTAAAGCTTTTGTCACTTTCTGGCAGTAACATTCTGAGGAAATGTCTGTGGCATGTGGACTAGTGGGAGACTCCTAAAATCCAAGCTATAGTAAGAGCCTCTCCTCCAGACAAGACTCAAATGTTTACATACATGTTTGCTCTTGAGAAAGGGTTTCTCTGTGTAGCACTGCCTGTGCTAGAATTCAGGAGCTCTGTAGCCCATGATATCTGCTTCCCTCTGCCTCCTGAGTGCTGGGATTAAGGTGTGTACCACCACTGCCCAGTTAATGTTTGCATACATTTTAACTGAAACCATGAACTTTCTGAGGCTGTGGAGATCTTTGAGGCTGTCCAGACACCCTAGCCAAATGGCTGAGCCCCAGGCCTGTGAGAGACTCCATTTTAAAAAATGGAAAACCAGGCCAGGCAGTGGTGGCACACGCCTTGAGCAGATAGATCTCAGTGAGTTCGAGCCCAGCCTAGTCTACAGAGCTGGATCTAGGACAGTCAGAACTACACAGAGAAACTCTGTCTGGAAAAAACAAAACAAAACAAAATTTAAAAATAATTAAAAACCAACATGGTCTTCCGAGGAGCAGCATCCACGATTTGCCTCTGGCTTCCACACACACACACCCGAGCAGACATGCGTGCACACACACACACACACACACACACACACACACACACACACACACACGCACGCACACACACCTGAGCAGACATGCGTGCTCCCGCGCGCGCGCGCACACACACACACACACACACACACACCCGCGCACACATGCACACACACACACACACACACACACACACACACAAC